TTCTCGAGTCAGCTTGGTCGGGACTCACTCCCTATAAGCCTCGTCGAATATATCACCTTCCTATAATAATGTGTCTCAAGTCCGGGTGTATGACTTATCTCACAATAAAGATACCCCAAGCAAGGTACAATAAATATATATACAAGAAAACAAGCAAATAATGAAGCAAATAGCAGAAAATAAACAAAGTAGGGGTAACCCTTAAAAGTTAGGCGCGTCCCCAGTGAAGTCACCATCTTCTGTTGCGGTTAGAATAGGATATAAAATTATTAATTAATTTGAATCACATCTTTAGTTCACAACCGATCTTTGATTTATCCGAAGGAAAATGTCAAAAGAAGGAAAACCTAATTTTTGCATCGTAAACAATTCAGGGAGAGATCTAGGTAAGGAGTTGGTGAAGCTTAGGAAATGTATTAGCACCCTAAACTTCTGCAGTACTCTACAGGAACCTTTTGTTTATAGTTTGCTATTTTTGCTTTATTATTTGCTTGAGGGTATATACTGAGCTAATGGTTAGAAAGTGACAGAAAAACCTAAGGGTTAGTCCTGAGTTTACTCGCCAAGATTCGCATCTTGTGCCTACGTATTCGAGGTAGGGGATGGAATCAGAGTAATCGTAGTTCCCCTCGAAAGGGAGGTTAGAAATTTCTTGACTGTGGTCAAGGTTTCAAGGGAGAGTAAGCGTTCTTAAGGAAGCGCTTACGTGGAGTGCATCGACTCCTATCTCTACGTTGAAATAGTTGAATTGATACTAGGGTTAACTAAGTATTCCACGACGGGAAACCCTAAAACGGAGTGCGGCGACTCCTTAAACTAATGTTAGGGTAAAAGGTATTTTTGTCCACGGCGGGACACCTAGAAAAATTAGGGTTTGGAAACAGTCAAGGGTTAGGGTTATTGACTCGGCGGTCAAACTGCTGGACCTACTCCTTCGAAGGGACGTTAACGGTAAAAATGATGCAAACGAAAAATTACTACAACGACGATAATTGAAATACGGGGAAATAACAAAAGCAGTAAAACAGAGGTGCAAAGCGAGGATCACTCACATAAATTACAACCATGAAAAAAATGCAAAAAAAAATAAAGACGGAATAAAAGCGACGATAGTCTCACATAATTACAACCGAAAAAGGAAAATACAGTAAAAATGTGAAATTAGTAACCAAGTACAAACAAGAGATATGAAAGTCAGATAATAATTAGCGGGAATATTAAGCCTTTTCATTTTAGCATTTTTTAGTTAGAAAATTAGAAATGAAAGTGTGAAATGTTAGAAATTTATTAAGAAAAAGTTTGAGTTAAATTAAACATAATGATTTTAAAAAAATATTTTTAAAAGAGGGTTTTAAATTTTAATTTGAAAAGGGTTTAATTTTTATTTAAAAAAGGTTTAACTTTTATTTAGCGTTTTACTAAAAAAGTGATCCAATTTTAAAAAAAAAAAGAGTTTCTAATTCTAATTAATGATTTTAATTTTGAAAGAAAGATCTAAATTTTAATAAATTCTAATCATAATGTTTAATTACATTCTTTGTTAAATAGTTTAATTAAAACTTTAATTCTCATTATTAATTACCAATAAAAAAATTAAAAGAAATATAAAATAATAAAAAGAAAGAAAAAAAAAACAGTAATAATAAAGGGGTGGATCGTGTTGCTGCGTTGTTTCTTTAGGGTTTGGGAAAAAACCCTTTCCCTTCTTTAGGGTTTGGGAAAAAACCCCTTCCCTTCTTCTTCTTCCCAACCGGCGGCGGCTTCTCCATGACTCCTTTTTGAAACTTTCCTCATCTCTCCTGCTTCGCCTTCGTCTGTTCATACCTGAAACCAAATAAAACCAATCCAAACTCATTAATGTCATAATCTTACTTTTTGGGTGTTTCGACGGCGAGGTGGTGGTGTTCTTGGCCGGTGATGAAGCTTCTTCTGAGGCTCTTTGCTTGGTTGTTGTCCGCTGGTGGTAGTGAGACTCTAAATGATCCACAGCCGCCGTTGGATGATCCTTGTTGGTGGATCTTCTGAGTTTTTTCTCAAAACTCTCTTCTTCCTCTTTCTGATGACCTGTTCTTGATTTCTGATGTTAATGAAGTTTTCTCCCCCTTTTCTCAAATACAACTTATGTTTATATAGGTATCAAACTAGGGTTAACTTTAACCTAATGCCCATTTTAAAGCCCAACTTAAATAATTATTTAAAACTAAATAAAATAAAATAAAATAAAATAAAATAAAAAATAAATTAAAACTAATAATTCTTTATTTATTTATTCTAACTATTTAGACAAAAAAATAAAAATAACTGAAACTCAAATAAATAAAAGTCGGACACCCAAGTGTTCGAAAAAATAAACTGAGTACACTAAAATGATCAACGCAAATATACGACTCGGAAAAATACCGTTTGGCCAGATTTTGAAATAAATTTTACTCGATAAAATGACTTAAACTGTCTAAAATGCGACCGAAAAGTGGTCGAAAAATTTAATTGAACACGCCAGGTTAAACTACGACAAACGTAGATTAATATGACTGACGTTTGCAGGCTCGACTTTAAAATTTTCCGTCCGCATATTTTTCACAAAGTTGACTTTTAGTTTGACCGATTCGGCTGTAATTCCGACAAATTTATTTCAGCTGATAAATTGGGTATTATGAAAAAATGACAGACATGATATGCTAGACAGGCAATGCAAGAAAAATATGAGGGTAAAATTTGGGGTGCAACATTGATGTCAATACTTCTCCACATATCTTGATTTGATTCACCAATTTAGTAACCCTAGTGAAGAAATCAGTTGTGCTCTCACTTTTTTCCATCTGAAGCATTTCATACGTCCTTTTGTGAGTTTGTAACCTCACCTCTTTCACCTTCTATGCGCCTCAAAACGATTTCTCCAAGATTTCTCATGCTTCTTTCGCTGATTCTACATCGCTAACATTTTCAAAGTTATCTGGATTAACACATTGATGGATTATAAAGAGATATTTATAATCTTTCTTCTTCAATTCTTTGTATGCATCCTTTTCTTGATTTGTCACGCTTTCTGCAAGCGGTGCTACTTCTGCCTTCACAAGATCCCAAAGATCTTGATAACAGGAATTTATCTTTATCTGATTGCACCAATTCTCATAATTATAGTTCTTGAGAATTGGAAAGTTCGTCGAAAAATACTTGTTTGGATGATTCAGTGTCATCATGATTTTCTTTCCTCGAATCGCAATCGGGGATCTAGATACTAGATGTTGGAATTAACCCAAAACCTTTTAAGAACTCATAATCAATCTTGATTCCAAGAAAGATTATGTGTAGCAACTGTTAATGAAAAAGAAAGAAAGAAAGAGTTTGACAAAATTAAAGGAAGAAGGGAATGATTTTCAATTGTAGAATCTCTGTCCACAAACTGTGGAAACCTTCTTTTATTCACTTTGCAACTTCAAAAGTTCTGTGAATACAAGTTATTACAAAATAGTGGTTACTCCCTCTATTTATAATAGAAGAAAGTACAAAATTACAAAAGCCTAAAAATTACTATTTTTGATCTAAGTTGAAATTTTGTGTCAAGCAACCTACTTCAACACTTTGATATTTAAATAACTCAACACACACGCCTTAGGCTAATTTCGACTAATCCTTGTTTTTGTCGAACTACACTGCCTCGACACAAAGAATTACAATCTCAACATGTGCCACATCAAAGTACACATTTCTTAACCCCTATATATCAATCAATTTCGACCATCGCTAACTTGTGCATCAGAGTACTTATAAGTTTTCATCCCCTCCCTCGTGGATCGCAACACGGGAGCACCCAGAGACATTCATCTAAACTCACCTAAATAATTCTCCACCTCATTAATCAAGTTTATTGATCTTCTGTAGATGAATAAGATTATTCTAATCCAATGTGATAATCAACATATACTTCTCTTATGATCCAAACAAAACAAAAAACTCATTAAGAGCTCTCTCTCATTTTTTTCTTGAATAAGTTTGTAATGATTTTCAAAGTAAAAACTAACAAATGCTTTTAAAAACTTGTTAAGAAGCCAAGTATGAAAATTTATTAGAAGCGGCGTATTCAATTTTCTCAATATTAAAAAATGACAGATATCTCAAATAAATAACCACCACAACTAAAAGTGTAAGTGTCTAGTTTGTTATCCTACCACAAATCTAAGTTTGTCGGTATTCTATTTAATATTCTCTATTTTACAATAATTTACATTTTTCATCATTTTACTTCTTTTCTAGTGAATATTTCATTAATTTACATAGAAACATTGCAGTAGCATTTTGAAAAAGAAATATGAATATCATAAGAATGTGTGGTGGCGGTTTCTTTCTCGTATCCAACCCAAAGGCAAGAACACGAGTACTTCTTTCATGATCTTCTGTAAAAATTTCTAAATCTGCATTACTCCTAGAGTTGATAATCATAAAGAATGAGTCAAGTTGACTGCTTCATAGTCAACCTTTGATGAAAAAATAAAAAAAGCTCAAAGTAGTAAAATTAAATGATCCATCATATGAAAAAGTATAGTAACATTGCAATCATTTTTCTTGTCAAAAAAGAACAACATTTCATTTCAGTACTAGTACAATGTAAAAACATTTATTAGCACCTTAAGTAGGTAGAGACAGATAATGATATGTGTATATTGTAATAAAGATTAATTATACAGTTAGCTTTATAGTTGAGAGCTATAATGAGTTCAATGAAAGACAGTGTGATTTTGTTCACGGTATAGCTGGTATTTGCATGTTAATGTCTTTTTCTTACAGGATTATAATTTATAACCACCTTTGAAGCATGTGAGGTTCTTAAATTTCATTGTCGGTGTGGTTTGGAGATGATGTCCAACAATGTGTATATATATTAGCCATTTCTCAAATTAGTAGTACACTCACATTATTACATGATCCAACAGAAGAAGCTTAATAGCTTCTCTTGAGTTTCAATTGTATCTTATTGATTGATTGGTTTTAGGAATTGTGTAATGCAGATTTTCACTCGAAGCCAAGGAGCACTTGTGTGCTTTTGGCTGTCTGTTGTTTTTTTGGTAATAGGATCTTGCCACAGTACAGTTGAGGTAGTTGGTCTTGGAGAATGCGCTGATTGCAAGCAGAACAACATTAAAACTAGTCAGGCTTTCTCAGGTACTTACTGGTCTTTTGTGTGTCATCGTGAAGACTAATTCTTTAAAATAATTGAAGTACTATAAATAATTGAATTTGATATTACTATTGTTTTTTACTATTCTGAATTATTTCTAAGTACATGTATGTGATCGACAATATCATCGGGTACAAGTACTTTTTTGGTTATATTAGGATATGAAAAATGTAGAGGTTGATTTTAATATCTTGTGTGTAACTTTTTGTGCAGGGTTAAAAGTAACAATAGACTGCAAGGAAGCGAGTGGACATTTTAAAACAAGAGGGGCTGGTGAGCTTGATAAAAATGGGAATTTCAAAGTATCACTTCCACAGGACATTGTTAAAGAAGGTGAACTGAAAGAAGAGTGTTATGCTCAGCTGCGTACTGCATCGGCTATACCATGTCCTGCTCATGATGGTCTGCAAGGCACCAAAATTGTGATTAGTTCAAAATCTGATGAGAAACATACTCTCAGTACTGCTGCTGCTGGTAAACTCAAGTTTTCATCAGCAACATGTGCTTCAGCATTTTTTTGGCCTTTTTATAAGCATCCTCTTTTTCCTAAGCTTCCTCTTCCTCAATTACCTCATTTCCCTCCTAAAGTTTTTCCACCATTTCCACCGAAGTTTTTCCATAAACATCACCCTCTCTTTCCTCCTATTCCTATCTACACCAAACCTCCTTTTCCTCATATTCCTATCTACAACAAACCTCTCCCTCCACCTGTGCCTATCTATGAGAAACCTCTCCCTCCCCCTACGCCGGTATATGAGAAACCTCTCCCTCCCCCTGTCTATGAGAAACCTCTCCCTCCTCCTGTCTATGAGAAACCTCTTCCTCCTCCTGTGCCCATTTATCATGAACCGCCAACTCCTGTTTACCATGCACCTCCTACACCTGTTTATCACGAACCTCCTACGCCGGTTTATCATAAACCACCTACGCCTGTTTACCATGCACCTCCTACGCCTGTTTATCACGAACCCCCTACGCCAGTTTATCATAAACCACCTACGCCTGTTTACCATGCACCTCCTACGCCTGTTTATCATAAACCACCTACGCCTGTTTACCACGAACCTCCTACGCCAGTTTATCATAAACCACCTACGCCTGTTTACCACGAACCTCCTACGCCAGTTTATCACGAACCACCTACGCCTGTTTATCATAAACCTCCTACACCTGTTTATCATAAACCTCCTACGCCGGTTTATCATGAACCACCTACGCCCGTTTATCATAAACCACATCCACCACAGGTTCCGGTCAAGAAACCTTGTCCACCTAAGGTTGAACATCCAATTCTACCACCGGTTCCAATCTACAAACCTCATCCTTCTCCAGTTCCAAAGCCACTTCCACCACCTGTTCCGGTCAAAAAACCGTGTCCGCCAAAGGTTGAGCATCCAATTCTACCACCTGTTCCAATATACAAACCTCCAGTAGTAATTCCAAAGCCACCAGTGGTTCCAATATACAAACCTCCAGTAGTAGTTCCAAAGCCACCTGTGGTTCCAATCATCGAGCCTCATCCTCCTCTTGTTCCAATTTACAAACCACCAGTTGTTATCAAACCTCTTCCTCCTTTCCCAAAGTTTCCTCCATTCAATAAACCACCATTTCCACCTCTTCCCAAGTTCCCTCCAGTGCACGATTTTTTCCATCACCCCAAGTACGGAAAATTGCCCCCAAAGAGCTTTTTCCATCACCCCAAGTTTGGAAAATGGCCACCAACCCATCCAAAAAGCTTCTTCCATCACCCCAAGTACGGAAAATGGCCACCAATCCATAAGAGCTTCTTCCATCACCCCAAGTATGGAAAATGGCCAACGGATCCAAAAAGCTTTTTCCATCACCCAAGCTTGGGAAATGGCCACCATTAAGTCCCCATCATTAGGAGCCATGTTTGAGCTTACAAAATACTTTCACTGTTTTTCGTCTTCTTCGTTTGTTTAAATACTATCATCGATCAATTTGGAAATAAAGCCTTTAAGAGATATAGAGTGTGTGGACAGGAAAACAGACATAGTACGATGTTGTTTGAAGAAGTTTGAGGAAGCTGAGTGTAATCACTTGTTGTTCTTGAGTGAAGATCACCGGAATTATTTTTTCTTAAAATTACTTTCATGTGTATATAATTGTGTTATTTGTGATGGTTTTCTCACTTTCTATCTTTGTATTATGAATTCTTACTTTATGTTCAATTAATAAACCATTTGTATCGTCAATTATTGCAGTTAAAAAGTTTGTAATGCTTATAGCTTTTGCACATTGTTTTAAAGCTTTTTTATAGTATAGATATATAGTATATTCATAACATTATTGCTTGTAAGAAAATCATTGTTACCGAAAACAGATAGATTTTCACGTACTAACATTGATTTGCTAGTGGAGGTACCTAATTTCCATTTATGGTAAAAAGATACTAATAGTAGGACTAACAAAGCTTTTGTTGGAAATAAGACCTTTTGTGTTTAAGAAAAATGTGTGGGAATATTAGGGGCTTAAAGAAAAACTTGATAGGTGGAAGAATTATTTATGGAAGAGAGAACTTTGTGTTTTTCTTGATGCAAAAGTGTAGAATTACATCTCTATTTATAGTACTCTAAGGAGAACTCTAGACACATTAATTCTAGAGAGTTCTCAACTCTAGACATTCTAAGAGTACTCTAGAAAGTATTACAACCCTAAGAAATATCTAGACACTCCAAACATTACAAGAGTATTCTAGAAACATTAATTAAAATTACTTAAGTCCAAAACAACTAAGCCCAAAAGTCCAAATAATATTTTTAGGCCCAAATCAAGTTTAATTTTATTTTCAACATCCCCCTTAAACTTGATTTGTGACTCCAAGCATACTCCTTAGCTTTATGAAAGTTTCCAACTTGAGTGGCTTGGTGAAAATGTCGGCAGCTTGATCTCGAGACATCACATACTTTAACCTCACATCCTTCTTCTCGATGCATTCTCTTACAAAGTGGTAACGGATGTCGATGTGTTTACTTCTTTCATGAAGTACAGGATTCTTTGCCAAAGCAAGTGCTGATTTATTGTCAACACATATTTCCATAGGATCTTCTTGTGGCATTTTTAACTCTTTCAACAAGTTCCTTAGCCAAACTGCATGGCAAACACATGATGTAGCGGCAACATATTCAGCTTCACAAGTTGACAGTGTGATGATAGGTTGTTTCTTTGACATCCAAGTGAAAGCAGTATCTCCCATAAAGAATACAAAACCAGTAGTGCTCTTTCTATCGTCCACGTCTCCACTCCAATCACTATCACTATAGCCAACAATTTCATGATTGTTAGAAGAGTAATAGTGTAAGCCAAAGTTTGTTGTACCTTTGATATATCGAAGGATTCTCTTTGCCGCCTTGAAGTGAGTTGTTGTTGGAGCTTCCATGTAACGACTTACAACTCCTACAGCATAGAGAATATCCGGCCTTGTACTTGTCAAGTAACGCAGACTTCCAACCAAACTTTTGTAAAGAGTTGGATCCACAATCTCTCCATTTTCATGCTTACTCAACTTGCTGCCACATTCCATCGGGGTGCCAACCGGATTAGCATCATCCATCTTGAACTTTTTAAGGACTTCTTTTGCATAGCCTTCTTGGGTGATAAAAATTCCTTTGTCTTCTTGCTTTACTTCAATGCCAAGATAATATGCCATGAGCCCCATATCTGTCATCTCAAATTCATTTGACATGTCTTTCTTGAACTCTTCAAACATGCTTAGATTGTTCCCAGTGAAGATTAAGTCATCAACATATAGGCACACAATCAAAATATTTCCACTTTGCGCTTTAATATAGAGTGCATGCTCATATGGACACTTGGTGAAATTCTTGTCTCGAAAGTACTTGTCGATTCGAACATTCCAAGCTCTCGGTGCTTGCTTGAGTCCATACAACGCCTTTTTCAACTTGAGGACTTTTTCTGCTTGCCCTTTTACTTCATATCCTTGTGGTTGCTCGATATAAACTTCTTCTTCGAGAAAACCATTCAAGAAGGCCGACTTCACATCCATTTGATAGATCTTCCATTCATTCTGAGCTGCCAAAGAAATGATTAGTCTAATAGTTTCAAGACGAGCAACGGGGGCAAATACCTCATCATAGTCAATTCCTTGTCTTTGACTATAGCCTTTTGCCACCAGTCTTGCTTTGTATCTCTCCACGTCTCCTTTTGCATTCTTCTTTGCCTTGTACACCCATCTTACTCCGATTGCTTTGTGTCCTCGTGGAAGTGTAGTAAGTTCCCACGTATCATTCTTCGCGATTGACTTTATTTCTTCATCCATGGCGTCTCTCCACTTTACATTTTCAACAGCTTCTTGATAGCTTAGAGGTTCGCAATCACCAAAAAGACAAAAGAGGTTAATGTTATTTTGGTTTTCGGTTACCTCATAAAGCTCTTCAATGCTCCTTAATCGTGGTGTCCTCTCACTTGAGCTTGTTTCATCCAACCTTGGTGTTGGTGAGGCAGGTGGTGTAATATGTTCATCTATCATTGGTTGTTCCATTTCATCTTCTTCTTCTTCAAAATAAGGAAGAAAATCATACCTGTCTTCTTGAACACTCCAACCCCAACAATCTTCTTCTTCAAACTCCACGTCACGACTTATGACAATCTTTCCGCTATTTGGATTATAAAGCTTGTACCCTTTGGAGCTTGAGTCGTAACCCACGAATACATACTTCTCACTTTTATCATCGAGCTTTGTTCTCCTTTCATCTGGAACGTGGGTATATGCAATGCTTCCAAACACTTTGAGGTGAGAGATACCTGGCTTCCTTCCACTCCATGCTTCTTGTGGTGTCTTCTCATGCACACTCCTTGTTGGAGAACGGTTTGTCAAGTAAACCGCACATGCCACTGCTTCGGCCCAAAACTCTTTCGGCATCTTCTTACTCTTAAGCATGCTTCGCACCATATTAAGTATGGTCCGGTTCTTTCTCTCCACTACTCCATTTTGTTGTGGCGATCTTGGCACTGTTAGTAAGCGGCGGATTCCATGCTCTTCACAATATTTGTTGAACTCATTTGAAGTAAACTCTCCTCCTCGGTCAGATCTCATAGCCTTAATAGAAAGACCACTTTCTTTCTCCACAAGGGCTTTGAACTTCTTAAAGTTTTCAAACACTTCTGACTTCTCCTTCAAGAAATAAACCCACGTTTTTCTAGAATAATCATCAATAAAGAGGAGAAAATATTTATTCTTACCAAAAGAGTTTGGATTGATTGGTCCACAGACATCAGTGTGTATGAGCTCTAGTGGTTTTGTCGCTCTTGATGTTGATTCCTTTGGAAAGCTTTTCCGGAATTGCTTCCCAATTAGACATCCTTCACATAGTTGGTCTGGGTGGTTTATACTAGGCAAGCCTCTCACCATCTCCTTCTTTGACAAACATTCTAGACTACCGAAGTTGAGGTGTCCAAATCGTAGATGCCATAGCCATGATGAGTCGGTATAGCAAGCCTTGAGACACTTTGCCACATCATTTTGAATGTTCAAGAGGAACATTCTATTCTTTGACATAGGCACCTTAGCAATCAAGTTATGCCCACAATCTCTTAAGAAAAGACTATGTTCTTTCAAGTGGATGTCATATCCTTTCTCCAATAATTGTCCCAAGCTCAAAATATTATTTTTCATGTTAGGAACATAGTAGACATTGGATATGAATTGATGACTCCCATTCTTTAAGCGTATGAGAATTTTACCTTTGCCTTTGACCGGTATCTTTGAGTCATCTCCAAATGAGACATTTCCAGTTGTCGCTTCATTGATCTCTATGAACATGCTTCGATCGCCGCACATGTGGTTGCTTGCGCCGGTGTCGAGGTACCACTTGTTTCTTTTCTCTTCAAATTGGTTTTGGCACGCAAGCAGCAAAGTTTCTTCTTCTCCACCTTTTTCTTCTACAAAATTAGCTCTCTCCACCACCTTCTTTGAGAATTTACACTCAGATGCATAGTGACCAATTTTGTTGCAATTGAAACACTTGATTTGTAGCTTGTTGCATCTTGACCATGAATTTCCATTTCCACGACCTCTTGTTGCTTGTGGATTCCAACTTCTTTCTCCATTGTTGAAGTTGTTGGAGTAGTTGTTGTAACTACCTCTTCTTTCTCCTTCATGTCCTCGTCCACGGCCACGTCCACGACCTTGGCCACGACCTCGTCCTCTTTGACTGTTGTAATTTGCATAGTTTGCTTCTTTTGCATTGAGTTGTAGTAGTTGCTCCATATTTTCCTTTTGTTTGATTTTTCTCTTTTGTTTTTCTTCGTATGCTTGTAAGGAACCCATAAGTTGCTCAATAGTCATGGTGTTTAAATCCTTATTTTCTTCAATGTTGGTAACAATGAAGTCAAAACTTGGATTTAAAGTGCGAAGTATTTTCTCCATGACTTTCACATCATCAACATCTTCACCATTTCTTTTAAGTTGATTGACTACGGACAATACTCGAGAAAAATAATCAGAAATTGACTCAGACTCTTCCATAAATAAACGTTCAAACTCACCTCTAAGAGTTTGAAGACGAATCTTTTTCACCTGTTCCACTCCTTTGTTGCAAGTTTGAAGCTTGTCCCATGCTTCTTTCGCCGTCGTTGCATTGGAGATCTTCTCAAATGTATCTTCATCCACCGATTGATAAATGAGAAAGAGAGCTTTCTTGTCTCTCTTTCTTGACTCCTTTAATGTATCCTTTACACCTTGGCTTAAGGAGGCTTCATCTTGCTCCTTGAAGCCTTTCTCAACAATATCCCACACATCTTGAGCTCCTAGTAGCGCCTTCATCTTGATACTCCAATTGTCATAGTTGTTCTTTGTGAGTATCGGAATTTGAAAAGGGAAACCTCCATT